GGCCAGGGGTCACACCACGGAGAGCAGAGAAAACCTTATCTAGAGGCACAGCCAAGCAGGAAAACAGGAGGGAGAGGTGGCGAGTGCCACAGAAATGGCACTAAGCCTCCCATCACTGCCTACCGGTTCACTGGGAGGGATGAGTGATGGGGAAGGTACTTTCCAGAGACCTCTGGCAGCAGGACAAGTCTCCTATTTGCTTGTCCTCCTGGTTTTCTCTTTAATCTCCAGTTTTTACTGCTACTGTGTATAAAGAGAAGATGGGTGCATCTGAGGGCAGAGAGGATGGGTGTCCCCTCCCTTTCCAAAGGGTGCTGTGAGCCCTGGGATCTGGGCAAGGGCATGCCTGGCTTATGGCTGAGCCTACGCTGCAATGACATCCTGCAACTTACAAACGCACAGAGCTGCGTCCCCGTATCAGACGACTTCTGGACTCAGTTTGACTCCAGGGACCCAGGGCGGGAAAAGCACCCTGCTCCCATGCTCCAGTCCTGGGGATCAGGCCCCAGAAGAGAGACCACGGATGTGCAGGCTGGACAATACCACCAGGGAGGGCCCAGCTGCAGGAGGAGGGTGGCAGGGATGGCACCAGCTCCTGCTCAGAGCCCCCCAGCCTGGCCTGGGGTGCTGGCATCTTCCCACGGGACAAATCTCAGCAGAAAGTGCCCAGAGACGCAGCACCAGTGATGACATGCTGGGAATGGGAGAGGAGCAAGTGGGGGCCGGAGGAGGAAAGATGCCAGGCCTGGATCCTCTCCATCACCCACACACGTTACTGTTTAGGCAAGAGCGAACAGCACAACGGGACGAGACTAAACGGGCTTTTCCTCACCTGGCTTCCCACCCTTCCCAGTTGTCCAACATGTCCCATCTCCTCACAAAAACCCTGAGCCCTGCCAGCCAGGTCCATCACTGGGAGCTGTCCCATGGAGAGCAGCCCCTTGCCTTGGCACCAAGCAGAGGCGACCACCAGCACAGGGCTCACCTGGCCCTTGCACTGGCCAACATGCCCAGGGCATGTTCACAGCTCCCGTGGACTCCTCTGCACCAGGGAGTGACGTGAAGTGGCCACGGGAGGGGGAACAGCTTTTAGCCCCTGTGAAGCTGCTCGTCTCGCCCGCAGGTGCATGCAGGGATGGTGCAGTCAGTTCCTCCCCAGTCACTCCAGGACCAACACGTGCAACGCATCGGGGGTGCTGGTGATAGAAAAAGACCCTTTTTGATGTCCAAGAGATGGACACCATGTCTTTGGAGGCAAGGGACAAAACCAGTTCCAGTATAGCCCTCGGAAGGGGTACTACAGCACCAAGTGAGACCAATGTAGCATTTCCCTTTGGTGCCCACTCTTGCTTCAGAGAAGCAGATGGGTGTTCTTGCTACGGACCTTCAATCCTACCTCCTGGCTGGGAATGCCCATGCCAGGTCAAACCCTGAGCCTACAGTAGATTGTGCTGCTGTGTCTTGTGCCCCTTGAATGCAACCTGGGAAGCATCTGAGACAGCTTTCACCATGCCTGCGAGAGACAGGAATGCTCTCATGATCCCGGCTATGAGACCTGGCGACCAGAGAACAACCCAAAGCATGCTCAGTGTGCTTGCATAGATGCAGCCTTGCTTTTCTTTCCTGGCCTTGTCCACAGTCACCAAGAGAGTGACTGTTTTTTTCAGCTCCCTGGGAAAGCTTTTCAGATATTAGTGTCATCTTATTCCACAACACATGAAATCCAGGTCCCATAGGTAAAGGACTGCAGGTGATTCAACCAATGCTCCAGGACACCTCACACCAAAGTGATCCCTGCATATAGCCCCAGGCTTACCGAGGGCATGTCTGCATCATACTGCAACAGATCCTGATCCTGCCCCACCAGCCCCTGAGGATGCAGTGAGGGTCGGCAAAGAGCGGAAGAAACACAGTTGGGGAGAGAGAAAAGGGAGGACTTGGAACATTTTTTACTGAAACTAGCGCTAGGCTGGGGCTAGAGGTTTTTGACATGGCTGTGACTAGCTTCTTTCTCTAAGGAAAGGGGCTGCTTCCCTCTAAAGATATCGTTGACCTTTTGTGTCAGAAAAACTCACTCTGTAGTTGACGAAGTACTGAGCCCTGCTGGCTTTTGACAGATTTCCAGAAGTTGGGCTTTGGGGTAGGGACAGCTGCTGCAGGGCTGGAGAAGGGACAGCCAGCCAGGACCAGGTACCTGGCCCAGGACAGCATCTCCTCCTGCCCTGCGCTGGGGGGTAAGGGCAGCCTGCCACGGGAGCTGGGGCCTGGCTCATCAGCGCCTTGAGAGCCACAAAAGGCAAGGGCCTGGCAGGGATCTGTGATGAATGGCTGCATTGCTCCGAGGAGGGTATGTTTACCTCTCCCAGAAGAGATGGGAGCCACAGGCTTTGCAACCACAGTCTTACAGGCAGCTTGGTCCTCAAACCCTGATGGAAGTAGATAAACCTGCTTCCAACATGCAAGAGAGCAGTGCAAGCACCTTCTCCCTCATCTTTCCAAGGAACTGGGCCAGGACACCGTACCCTTTGCTAGGGTAGCCTCTGGCCAAGGATGAATCTGATGCACCCAGGGCTAAGCCGCTCCTGCAGCCCCTGTCCTGCGCAGGGACCCGCACCAGCTGCAGCAGCTCAGCCCCAGTGCAGATCCATGCCGAGCATCCTCCTCCTCCTCCCCAGCCGCAGCCCCTCACGGGTCACTGAGCGAGCAGCAGGAAGGCTTTCGCCCAAGCAAGCACCGGTTATCCTCCTTTCCCACTCATGCTGTTTGTCTTGGCCTCTCTTCCCATACCGGCCTTCCTCCTCTTCCTCCTCCTCCTCAGGATTGTATTGCTGGGGCTGTCACTGTAGTTAATGAGCTGCAACAGAGCTGGTGCTCTGGGAAAGTCATGCCAAGACACAGCCAGGCCCAGGGCATTGCATGTGCTCAGATACCAGGGAGGAGGACCCCAGAGGGGGGAACACCTGAAAAAGAATCCCCAGCCACCAACAAAGGGAGCCAGCAGACCAGAGCAGGAAAAGGGCCAGGGCTCAGCTTGCATTCAACAAGTCTCAGCAAAAGCCATCAGGTGCCTGGACATCCTTTGGACAGCCAAGCCACTGCACCACCATGGATGCCATCCCCTCGAGGATCTGGTGGCCACGTCCCCCCTGCCTACCAGAACAGTCCCTGGGCCATCTCACTCCCAGCCTTGGTGGCTGGCACCAAAATCTGGCTAGGGACAGTGTAAATAATTTAATGATGTGGACACCGTGGTCTTTGGGAGAAGAGTATGATGCCTGGCTCTTGGCCATGCAATACCACTTGTGCACGTTTAGCCCACGCTTCAGCTGAACAGGGCAGCTTTGTTCAAACATTGCATGGCCCAGCCAAAAGGGCTGTTCCGAAGGGCACATATGGCCACTTTGGGGCAGCAAGACCATAGTCCCAGTGCACAGACCCAGGAGACCCAAGGCTCGGGAGGAAAAAGGCCAGGGACTCCCAGCTCATCAGTGATGAGGGGCAGGAGCCAGTGGGCTGCCCTCCATGCCTTATCCACGGACATGCCCAGGAGCAGATGTCTTCACCTGGCTCCATTACCTCAAAAGCCCTTTCTCCTTGCCTGCACGCCAGCTGCTAGCAAGCACCAAACGCCAGGGCAAACGGCAGACTCAAACGGCCACACTGTGCCTCAGTTTCCCTTCGTTGCAAGGACAAAGCTCCTGTTCCCGCAACTCTTCATCCATGTTCCACGTTCCCATGAGAGCTGAGAGGTGGAGTGCAAACACGAGACAGGTCAACAACCCGCTGGCTTTTCTTTTTATTTAACAAAATCACAGCACAATAAAAAAGAGAGAAAAGAAGCAACTTACACCTGTAATTGTTGCATTGAACAGATCTAGCAGCAAATACCTGAGAGCGGTGTGAACACTGCTTGTGCATCCCTGCCCAGGCAGGAGCGTGGGGCAGGCTTTGAACATGGTGGCAGGCTGAGGGACTAAGAAGGAGGGCAATGTCCCTGAGGAGTGCAAGGGCCGAGGGCAACATCGCTGCCTGCTCTGCCACCGCATTACTGGCTCTATTGCTACCTGTGCAAGGAAGGGCAGGAGGGGAAACGGCACAGGGAGGTCAGGGTGTGAGAAAGGAACAGCATCGGCCATGCCCTGCCCGAGTGCACCTAGGTTCTGCTCAGTGAGGGAGCAGCACAGTGCATGGCCGGTGAGGAACATCTCCATCCCTCACCTCCATCGCCACAGTGTCCCGTCCTGGCAGCCCTTGTCAGGGATGCAGAAGGACTGCTGAAGGTTTGGGGATGACAACGGAAACCAAAGGGATCAGACTGGTGCTGGAGGTCACAGCTGCTGCACCAAAGGGAAGGCTGAGACCCCCCAAACCCATCTCACAGCCATCAACTAGCTTCAAGGCTGCAAAAGCGGCGGAGGCTCTGATTCAGCAGCCCCCGGCTCAGCCAGACGCAGATTGCTGGGTCACGGTGGAGACAGAGAGAAGAAGAGAGAACGGGCAGGGTTCTGCCCAGCCCCATGTACTGACATGAGTCCCAAGGAGAGTCGGCCCTGCCACTGGAGGTGGAAGCAGGTTGGCTCCATTAGCTTCAGATTCACAGCTGGGAGCCAGCCCTGTTCCAGATGCTGGGGCTGGCCACAGGCTTCTTTGGAGGCTACTTGCCCTGCGGTTTGGCCTGGGGAAATGAAAAAAACATCTGTGACGAGTGTGATCCTTGGGGCAGAAGCCTCACCAGGGTCCCTTCCCCACAGCCAAGGTGGTCACCAAGGGTTACCTACCCTGGTCAAGCCATGGTGGTGAAGTGGGGGCCTGGTAGGGCTTGCAAAGCACTCACCAAACTCAACACAAGCCCTCCCCATGAAGATGCACAAGATGCAAACTCCAAGCTTGCAGGGCAGAAGTGTGTGTGGGGGCTGCTCCCGGGAAAAGCCTGTTGGGTGGTGGATGAAGCCACCTCTGGGCTGTCCCCGTTCCCAGCCGAGCACAGGGCTGGCTCTTACCTTCCTGGCAGAGCTGGCATCCAGCTTCTCTTGGAGGCGAACCACCCATGGGGCTTGGAGAGGGGCACAGAGGCGCTTGCCCTTTGTGGTGATGAACCTGCCAGGCCCATGGGGAAAAAAAACAAGATGAGGTGAGCAGGACAGCCTGGGGATGCTCCAGCACAGCTCAAGCTCTCACCTGATGATTCCCTCACTGCCCTCCTTCATCTCTACCTTGGGATGACTTTCTTCGCTGACTTTTGTCCCAAGTTCTTCTCTCCCACCAGGTGTGTCCTGCTCTGATTGAGCCTTTGATCTCCACAGTCTCCTCCACATTCCTCCCTATTCCCTCACCTCCAAACCCAGCTCAGTGTCCCTCCTCCACTCTGCTCTTCCTCCCTCCCTGCCTCCCCACAGGGTCCATCCCTTGGCCATCACCAGCCTGGGGCTCTTGTTCCTCAGCCACCACCACCCTGGGGCTCTTACACAGCAGCTGGGATGTTGCAGCCATCCTGCACCAGCTGGAGCCGGTAATCCTGCACTATCCGCCGTGGGATGGGCATCTCGCTCGTCCGCAGGCAGCAGTCAAGAACGTTGTTCCCGCCGTGCACTGTAGGAGGAACACACCATGCAGGCTGGGGTTGCTCTCCCTGCGCCGGCTGTGCCTTTACC